GTGACCATAGTCCATGTTTGACTAAGGGTGGGTATCAACTTCCCAAGTCTGTCTCCATGGAAATAGTGGGAAGGCATCTCTTCTGTATCTGAATCTTGAAAGATGCTGAGGCTTTGGTCATACGCAAGCTTTTGTGGCAGGCTCTTCACACGTACAAGACCCTTATTGTCTTGATGGGAAAGTAGATTTGGTCATATTCTTAATCATTATACATCATGGAACACTCAATTTCTCAGCAGTAGATTTTCTTTTAGCTCATTATTCCTTTTGGGGCCTTCCACCTGGTCTATTCATTTTCCACTCTGTACTCTCTTTTGAATATATCTTATATACAGGGTTAAGAGCATTTCCAGTGAGAACTTCTTACTTCTAAAATGTAGATACAGTATTAGCTTCTGGTCAATTATAACTTAGAAAACATTTTAAAATTATCATAATAATAGTATGTATTTTAGAAGTATTGAAGGTTATAAAATTTAAAGTGCAACACAACCCGTTTCCTTTGAGTTTCCAGAGGTAATCACTGTTTACAAAAATCCTTGGCTCTCTCTCCAGAAGTTTTGTAAGCATAAACAAATTCCATAGAGAATCATTGTATACATAATGCTTTGCAATTTGTTTTATTTCTTAGCCTAACAGTTTATTTAGAAATTTTTCTATATCAGTCATTCTCCTTATGTATTGGTGAATATGCCAATAAATATAGAAATTTTAAAAGCAAACAGGGCACCATCCAAATGGATTCTGAGTTTTACTTTGGGTCCTTGTCAGAGGTAAGACAATAAACTCATCTATAAAATGGCAAAAAGAGTGGATCTCTCTTACATTGTTCAAACAGAAATGGGTTCATTTCCCTTGTTTGAGCTACAAATTTTGAAATCTGACAATGGTGACAGTCATGAATAAGATTATCATTTTGAGACTCTGAAATAAGAAATTCTGTAAAAACATTCAAGTCATTGAATTCCAGGAAGTTCTACAAATAGACCTACAAGTGTCATGCAATAAACCTTCTATCTCAAAACAGACCAGACTGATGGACAGAATCTACTCTTTTCTGAAATTGTTCCAAGCTAGGGAATCATAATTATTTTTAGCACCTATTCCAGGCTTAAAATAACAAATGCTAGAAGGATATTTCTTAACACCCAAATATTTGGATAATATTATTTTAAATTCATTTAATTTTATAAACATGTTTTATCTCTTTTGAAAAATTACATTCTGGGAATGCATTTTTCTCTCAAACATATCTTTGATTGGTCACAGTGCTACAGTGTAGGTTAAAAATCAACTGTTCTACAAACACCAGAGCTCAAATATTTCTGCTTACAGCTTTTACAAAGTTAACATCAAATAATTATATATTCTAGGAGCAAAATATGGAATAAATGCATGCATTTCAAATGACAGAATTAATTAAAACCCTTTACTGTTATTGGCATGTACAATTTTACAGAAGCTTGGTTGAATAATATTTGCATGTAATTTACATTCAATTTCTCCATACTTGTTTTTGCATATAGTTTGCATCCATTTCAATGTATAGTGATTTCATACATTTGAAGTTAGACTGCTAGATGGGAGTTACTCAACTGAATAATCTCTTAAAAGGGTGTCGAAGGGATCAGGTATAAGGCATCATCAGAACAAAAAATCTTACTATAGTGAATGATGGGGGGAGTGTGGAGTGGAGATCCAAAGCCCATTAGTAGGCCACTGGAGATCCCCTTGCAGAGGGAGGGGTCTCAGGGAGGAGACGAGCCAGTCAGGGTGCGATGTAACAACGATGAGAAATATAACTTTCCTCTAGTTCCTAAATGTCTCCTCCCCGCTCCCACTACCATGACTAAAATTCGACCTTGCAAGTCTGGCTAGACCAGAGGAGGTACACTGGTACAGATAGGAACTGAAAATACAGGGAATCCAGGGCGGATGAGCCCTACAGGACCAGTGGTGTGAGTGGCGAAACAAGGAGGGTAAAGGGAGAATGGGTAGGAAAGAGGGAACCAATTACAAGGAACTGTATGTGACCTTCTCCCTGGGGGACAGACAACCGAAAAGTGGGTGAAGGGAGACGTCGGACAGGGCAAGATATGACAAAATACCAATTTATAAACTATCAAGGGCTCATGAGGGAGGGGGGAGCAGGGAGGGAGGAGAAAAATGAGGACCTAATGTCGGGAGTTTAAGTGGAGAGAAAATGTTTTGAGAATGATGTACAAATGCGCTTTACACAATTGATGTGTGTGTGGATTGCGATAACAGTTGTATGAGCCCCTAATAAAATGTTTAAAAAAAAAAAAAGGTGGTCCCCGAGGGAGCCCAAACTTCCTTGTACTCTGCAGCCTCATTGAGCAATAGCATGGGGAAGTCTGCTGTAAGACATCACCCTGATTATCTCACTTTGGGAGAGAGAAGAAGTTCTGCCAAAGTCAGGCACTTCCCGAATATAATCCCCAAAGCAGGATGAGACAGTCAAACTACTCTCACTACTTTCATACTGATCTTTCAATATTGACATCTATAAGTATTTACAAATATTTTCTTAAACTTTCCATAGTTTTGGCTTGTTCATTCTCTTTGGGGAAAATAATTTCTTCTTGTGTAGAAAATCAGAAATGGAGCTCATTTCAAGAAGAAATTCTCTAACACTTGTATCACATTGGAACAAATCATTTTTTCAATCATGTATTTGGATAAAGGGTTAGACATCATTGCTGAGAAATATTTATTCAAATACCCACGATAGTGGTCTGTGTACATGGAGGGCTGACCTACAATAGTCCTTTGTTTAATTAATTCATATCCAGGCATAAATATGCCCTTTTTAGTTCTAGTACTACAGCACCAGTTTAACCGCATAGCGAATGATTCCAGCTATACTCTGAGACTGCAGGGCACAAGCAAGAGCCCTGTAGTTAACTCTTGATCCTTCAGGCTAGAGTTTGAAAACCTTAGAAAACCTCAGTTCTGGCCTCCAGAATTTGCCTTCCCAAGCCATCAGTCTTGTAGACATAATCAACAATGTATCAATAGCTACTGATAGAAAAATGTGCTATCGATAAAGATGGAGCAAGGAGCCCTAGTGGCTCAATGGCAGAATATTAGGCTGCTAATCCAAAGGTCAGTGGTTCAAACACACCCGTCAGACCTACACAGGAGAAAACATCTGGCAATCAGTTCCCATAAAAATGGCAGCCTAAGAAACACTATGGGGCAGTTTTGTTCTGTCTTATTGGGTCTCGCTGAGTCAGGAACAACCTGGCAGGACACACCAATAGCAAGAAAGACTGGCAAAAGGGTAAAGAAGGGGCAGAAGTAATATAGCTCATCGTTGCCTTGTTAGCAGGAAGAAATGAAGTCACGCGTCATGGTGGACTTCTTGGAGTTTGGGCCTGGCACAGTCGTGGAAGGCATTGAGTTGGAAAGACGCAGGAGGAACAGGTTTTAGGACCATGTGAACTTTATAGGAACTGTAGGATATCACAATGTCCATGTTAATCGGCCGCTGGTTGTATGTATATACTCACTGCCATTGAGTTGATGCAGACTCATCGCGACCCTATGAGACAAGGTAGAACCGTCCCTGTGGACTTCTGCGAGTACAATTCTTCACGGGAGCAAGAACACAATGAGCCATCACTAATGTCTGTAGATCACTCTCAGGAAAGAAGACGCGGCTGGACGCCTTGAAGATGGTAGGGTTCGGCCAGTGTCTCCTACTGCCCGAGTCAAGGGCACAGCGACCGAACATTTAGCAGGAGAAGAAGGCTTTTGTTCTCTGTTAGAGGTCGCTCAAGCACAGGACAGGCCTTTCGACCTCCTCGTTCTTGGAAAATACTGCTTTATAATCAAGAAGATGGTTTTAAAAACGTCTCTGTACGAAGTATCTCAAGTCTCTGATGAATTTGCTTCCCACACCAGGAGCATAATGTCATTTGCATCCAACATCAAGTTTACACCGAGGCTGCTTGTGTCTGCTTGTCTCTGTCCTCCATCTTTCTTGACTAGTTCTGACACAAAGTGTCCACAGCGATCTATAGCTATGCTAGGTTCAAACATGTGTGGCAGTGGCTACACAGAACACACAGGCAAGTCTCACAGTTATGCGGAGTTATTCGGGAAGTTAATAGGTTACCACAAGTCAGGATCAATAAATAGTAAGGATATAGTCATTGGTCCACAGCAACAATTCTCAGCCAGGAACCAACCTTTCTGATCCTGAGCCTCTCAGTTATGTGGTCCCTTGGTCAGGAAGGCCACCTATCCCTCTGTCTCATAGCCCATAGTCTTGGTGCTGCTCCTTTGTTCTGTCTCCTAGTTTATTTTGGCTTCTGGTTTCAGCCTGAGTCTTTTGCCATGTCCAGTAGTCTCTATGCCACTGTCTCTGGGGTCTCTCTTCTTGGGCTCGGTCATTTCAGACAGATCTCAAACAAGCTCTTTTTCCAATGGCTCTTATTCACAGAAAAATCATGTTGATGGAGGTGTGCTTTTTGTCACTCAACCAACCATACTCTTGAGGATTCAAAAGGTGTGACTTCATTCATACCCACTACTAAGATAGGCTTAATCCTACCCAAATCCAATCATTAGCATAGCAAAGAACTCTCTGTAAAATGGGATTATAGCCATAGGCAGAGAGTCTAGAATTGTAATATATTACATAAGGAATTATGGCTAGAAGGGCCATATTGATTGACTGCATCACAATCCTTTAATTTGAATGCAAATGGTGCCTGAACAAATGTATTAATCGGGTGAAATTACTTTAGTATCCCTAATCAATTTAGCATTACTAGTTGACTCTCTGCTTTTGTACCCATCAGAACCCCCAGAATATGTAATATGGTTTCCCCCTCTTTTTGGATAGCTCTATACATGACCTTCTCCCAAACTCTCTTATAAAAGAGTTAACTGAAACTACTCAGTCACTTTTCTATCTCTGTTTTCCAAAACAGTTCTCTTCTCGTTGTAAGTTTAGCACAGATACCAATGAGTCAATGGAAAAAAACCACTTTTATCCATGGACAATTTACCCACGTTTTCTGTTTATATATCTTTTTCAAACCAAATTCTCAGCACAGCCCACAAGAATATCAATTTTCATGTCTGAATACTCATGAGGTGCAAGCTTGATATGCTTGCACTACTGTGAGCTCCAAGTAATGACTGAATTTAAACCATGAAGTAAAATCAGCTTGTAAGCAACCAGGAAGTTGCCCTGTGGATGCAAAGTATGCTCTGATTGATCACAGATCAGAGATGTATCCTGACCTTCAAATGTTCCTATAAGATAAACAAATGCTTGACTGTAATATTGCAGATATAATTATAGCAGTCAAAACCTTTGCATGGTCTTGCTATAAAATAATCGGAAAGGTTTGAGATAGGGAAAATGTGGAATAAAACTCAAAAATCAGGTTTACTACTCAGCTTGAGACTGGTGGAACCCTAAGGTTATGGCTTTTCATCAAGCCTGGAATTGAATTCACTCTGGTGGCTCATCTTTCCAACAAACAATAATCAGGTCTGTAGGAGGAACAATCACACTAGTGAGTTACCCAAACCTTAGACTAATCAAACGTCTCACATCAGAAAGGCAACATTTGCCCAGGGTCAAAGTTCAGAAGAGTTAGGAAAGAAGGGAGAAAGGAAGCAGAAAACGTGGAGAGAAAGCGGGGATCACAATGGATGAGATGAAGCAAAATGTTTATGACTTGTTGAATGTAAAACTGGTGATCTGCTCACTAAACGTTCATACGTTGCAAAATAAAAAGTCAATAAATAATATTTTTTAAGCTGAAAGCATTCATTGTATAGATACAAACCAGGAACAAAGCATCTTATTCTGACTCCCGGCAAACTCGTGTCGGGGTTGATTCACAAGTTGTTCAAAGGATACATTTTATTAAGGGAAGTGGATTGCTAGAAGTTTTCGCTACTATAACTCCGAGTATCCTTGAAGTTCCTAACTTTTAATTAGTGGCTGAGTACTTTAACAGTTTGTACCACCCAGGGACAAAAACCAAACTGTGGCATGGGATGCATTCAAACTCATAGAAATCCTGTGTGGCAGAACAGATTGGGACTCTATAAAGTTTTCCATAGCTAAAATTTGAAAGTATATTGCCAGGTATTTCTTCCTCTTCTTTTTTCAGTCATTTTGTTGGGGGCTCATACAACTCTTATCACAATCCATACATGCTTCCTTTCTTCTGAAGTGCCTCTAGATAGATTGGTGCCACTTCCTTTCATTTAGGAGCCCCGCTCACGAGCCATTTATGCCACCCAATAATGCACGTGGCCATCCCAAAGAAGCGAAATGATCATTACTACTGGTATAAATCAGTGTAGCGCTATTTGTAAGATGGTGTGACACAGAAAGTCAATAAGTAAAAACAAACAAAAAATGAAGTGAACCTGTTTGAGAGCCTATTTTGTGTGTGGCATTACAGTAGGATTAACACTACAAAAACTACATGAGGCATTGTTAATCTTTCAGCACTCTATGATCATCTTCCATGTTTTAAATTGAAAAAATATTCTAGAGTGTATATGCTCCCTTAGTTTGTTGATTGTAAGGGAAATGTTTTCATCCAGAAACCAAGGGAAAATGTGTTTTAAACAAGGCAGAATAATGTTATATGCAGCAATATTTTAAACATTCTGCCTTGAATCCCCATTGCCAACATCACTTCCTTATTACAGCTGCTCCCGTCCTGAATGAAGGCAGTAGGTCTCCGTGGCACCACAGGTGGCTTTCTTCTCTTGGGAAAATCACAAGCTGCCACTGTCCTTGCTCAGTCAACTCTGACCCTGCAACTGCTGTCTCTCTTGTTTCAGGTCTGGCCAGAGCATCAGCCTCTGATCTTGCCCTGCCAGCTGGTATCTGAGCAACTGCTCTTGAGTTTCCTTCCATTTCCCTGTCACTTGTAGGTACACCTGCTGAGTGGGAGAACCTGGGGGGCAGGTGTGCCCAGGGGATGTGATATTAGCAATACGGGGAGCAGACACACTGGCCTCTTCTCGGCTGCTGTCTTCCTCCCTGGCAGCACGGTGGGTAACTTTCCTTCTGGACACTCCATTCATGGATTGGTGGGGAAGCTGGCTCAGCTTGCCCAGCATGAACTTCATCTTCATATCTGGAAAAGCGAGGGAAGGAATAAAATTAGTTGTCATTACTTGATTATATAATTATCATATTTAGCAAAGTGCAATATGTTAAATATGCATTACTAAAATGATATTGCCAAATAATTAAATATCTACTTGTATCACCTAATAGTTTTCTAAATACCTTTATATTATTCCTAATAGGATGCAGTATCCAATGTCTATGGGAAAAAGTCATAGCATAAGAGTCTTGCTTGGATAGAAAGGTACTTGCCTTGGTCACTCTTCAGTATTTGGTGATTAATTTATTTAAGGAATAAACCTAACCAAAGAAACAAAACACCTGTACAGAAAAAAAAACTACAGAACATTAATACAAGGAATTGAAAGAGTCTTACAAATGGAAGAATATGCTATGTCCATGGATAGAAAGACAATATTGTGAAACTGTCAATATTACCTAAAGTAATCTACAAATAACAATGTGATCCAAATCCCAACAACACCCTTTAGAGAAGTAGAAAAATCTAATTACCAAGTTCATGTAGAGAGCAAATAAGCCTAGGATAAGCAAAGAACTTCTCAAAAAGAAGAACAAAGTAGGTGTCTTATACTACCCGATCTCAAAACCTACTACACAGCCACAATTGTCAAA